ATCTCCTACTGGGGATGTGCCCGCAACCCAGGTACATGCCCTTGACTGGAATCGAACCTGGAACCTTTCAGTCTGCAGGCCGACGCTCTATCCACTGAGCCAAACCGGTTTTGGCTGGTCCATATTTTAAACTGCTAGAAAAATTTTCTAGAAAACGAAGCCATTGGATAAAGATTTTGTGTGAAGGATTGATAGAGCTCTATCAAAGATGACATACAGAATGGCCCATGGTTTTGTGAGAAGATGCTCAATATCATTCATTGTCAGAGAAATGCAAATCAAAAGCGCAATGAAATATCGCACATCTTGTTAGAATGTCTATTATCAAAAAGACATGAAATAATACATGTGTTGGTGAGGATGGGGAGAAAAGGGAACCCTTGGGCACTGTTGGTGGGAATGTAAATTGGTGCAACCACTGTGGAAAACAGAATGGAGGCTCCTCAAAAAATTAAAAATAGAACTACCGTGTGATTCATCAATTCCACACCTAGGTAATTTATCTGAAGAAAAGTAAAACACTAACTAGAAAAGATATCTGCATCCCCATGCTCACTGCAACATTATTTACAAAATATGTAAACAACCAAAGTGTCCATCAATAGATAAATGGATAAAAAAAATGTGATTTTATATCTATACTAGAGGGCTGGTGCATGAAATTTGTGCACGGGTAGGGTCCCTAGGCCTGGCCGGCAATCAGGGCCTATCTGGGCCATCTTGCCCGGTCCTGACTGGGAGGTTGGCTGTGGGAGTACACTGACCACCAGGGGTCAGCTCCTGCATTGAGCATCTACCCCCTGGTGGTCAGTGTGCATCATAGCAACTGGTTGACCAGTCATTCTGGTTATTCAGTCGTAATGGTCGCTTAGGCTTTTATATATTTCTATATCTATATATCTATATATCTATATCTATATCTCCAGAAGCAGGGGTGGGCAAAATGGGTGAAGGGAGTCAGGGGTACAACCTTCCAGTTATAAAATAAATAAGTCATGGGGATACACTGTACGGCATGGTAACTTTAGCGGATAAAACCGTATTGCATATTTAAAAGTTGCTAAGAGAACAAATCTTACATGTTCACATCACAAGGAAAAAAATTCTGTAACTATGTATGGTGACAGATGTCTAGACTTATTGTGGTGAACATTTCACAATATATACAAATATTGAATCATTATGTTGAAAAGAATATAATGATGTGTGTCAATTATACTTCAATATAAAAAAAATAAATGGTGGGGGGAGGGGTTGAGGTGGTGGAAGAGGGCATAGAGGGAATAAATGGTGATGAAAAAATAAAATAAAATAACTTATATAAATAAGTAAAAGTAAGCTGCAAAGGTCATGCTAAATAGTTTTTCTTAATATACTGTCAAAATTCCATTTCACATGAAGTTTTATACCACAGATCACTGTATTTAGTCAAAAATTACTTTTCTAAGCTACGTTTTAAGAAGAGTAGGAAAGGCTACTTCTAATTTTCAAGCTATGCCCAGACACCAACCTGGTGTGTAAAACTGTACAAGATCAGTTTCAACCACATACATAACCTAATCCAGCAGGATTTTCGGCAATTATAATAATAAATTCCAATAATAAAGTTAAAGCAGAATTAAAGAGTCTTTGGTAAGGCTAAAACAGCTTCCCGAAAGCCAAGCCAGTGGATGGCGATGCTGTGTGAAGGACTGCCAGGGCCTTTCAAAACTGCAGCCCATGGCCAGGGACCACCGCTAGCTTTTCTATGAAGATGGGCATAAATGATTCTTCAACCAACAAGGCAATTACCAATTCTGATTCTTGGCCTTAAAAAACACAACAAAAATGTTGCATTCCAATATATTAAAAACCAATAACCTGGCCTTTTGTTGACTGTGGTAATTCTTTGTTTTTTTCCTAATGAAACACAGTCTTTTCTCCTTTGTGCAGCAGGCCACAACTTTCCCTAAATTGTGTCATGTTGATTTAAAAAATCAGATTTTATGCTTCCATGGAGGTTCCAGAAATTTTCCGCCAAGAATACTAGTGGTCTTGCTGGACAGGCTGCACCAAGCAGAGCGAGTCCATGCCAGGGCCTCCTTTCGCCTTGACGGGGGCCTCCCACAATGATGAGCAAACACAGGGCAAGTGTCCCCACATCACTGTCCAAATGCCCTTCAAAATCCCTGGATTCATTATTTCCGCACCCCTCGGAGGGAATGTGCGTGGCCTTACCGCCGACGTTAGACGCGCAAGAATTTCATCACTGCTTTCTTCCGAGTCTTCAATTTTCCGATGGGACCTTTGAAAAACAAAGAATGAATTACCCTTCAGCTCTGGTTACTCAAATTTATCTACCAAGTTATGGGGAATAACATGGTATTCCTACTGTTTAATACATGATTGTCTAATTATTCTTGTTTAATACATCAGTGAAAGTCCCCAAGCAAATAACATGGTATCGGTAGTGCCATGGGAACTCAGTTCTGCTGCAGCCCAAATGTCCCTTCAAATTCAGTCAGGAAGAACCTCTTCACAAAACACCAGCTAAATCCTGATAGAGTGCTGTTCTCCAAATGATTTCACAACATAATCCCGGCACACTGGCTTTACAGATATGGGCATACACAAAGCATAAGTGGCTGTGAATATGTGCTGGTTAAGCACTAACATTCCCTCTAGACTAAATGAAATCCAGATTTTGAAAATATGAATCATGAATTTTCCACTACATCTGAATTCCAGCCAAAACAGATGTATTCTGAAATGGTCTGTTATAGACCTAACACTATGACAGGATTTATGTGGAAAACAATAGCAGAAGAAGCCCTTTGTTCTTTTTTAAGAGAGACAGCCCAGTTGAGAGGCCAAAAAAAAAAAAAAAAGTGTATGCATATGTTGAATCACTACAGAGACATATATTACACAGTATCAGATTGGTTTGTTTAGGAAAATCACCTTTCTAATGTAATTCATGAAAAAATGTTCACTGCACAAACGCATGTACTAACGTACAAAATGATCTATTTTTTAAAACAAATCTTATAGAACTGCATTCTTTCTCTTTGTTTGGTCAAAGAAAAAAATTAACTAATGCCATCGAATATATAAATTGTCTCCCAGGTCCATTTCCACAAGCAATCCCTTCTCCCCTGTGGAACTGGAGGGGTCGGTGGTAGCTGCCTTGCGGAGCGGCGTTATCAGGATGGCAGTCCAGTGATTGATTTCAATTGCACCAATGGCAGCAGTGGGCCGGCTGGGGTGCTAGCCGGAGTGGCAGGAGGGCGGCTCCTGGCTCACAGGGGAGCTAAGAAGCTCTTTAAGAAAATAAACGCTGGTCAGATCAATTCTGACATTGGCTTCCTGTTCTGCACATGTTATTAAACCTTTTTATAGAAAACAAGCCATCCCCTTCCAGAGCAGTGAGTTAAAACTACTCCCTTTATAAGGATTGCATGATGTAGGTATGGAACAGTGCGGGTGTTGTCCGATAGCTTAATTACCTATGCAGCAAAGTGTTTCAAACATTACCTAATGACCTGCCCATAAAAACAATGGTAACTGAGCATGATAATTTACCGTATTCCCCCAAAACCAAGTGACACTGATGATGAATATTCCAAACAATGAGCTTTATTATTAAAATGATCTATTCACAAGGTTTCCCTGCGTGGGCAGTGTGGCTCAGTGGTTGAGAGTCGATCCAGAAACCAGAAGGTCACAGTTCGATTCCCAGTCAGGGCACATGCCTGGGTTTTGGGCTCGATCTCCAGTAGGGGGCATGCAGGAGGCAGCCGATCAATGATTCTCTCTCATCACTGATGTTTCTCTCTCTATCTCCCTCTCCCTCTCCCTTCCTCTCTCAGAAATCAATAAAAGCATTTTTTTTTTAAAAAAAAAAGTCTTAAAACGGTTTTCCTATACATGAAGTTATACTAAGGAGAGATTTGCAATCTTTTATAACCTCAGCCGCCAAACCAAATTTATATGATTAAGTTGAGGCGACTGACAGATCTGTTAGGAAATGAAGCACCAAACGCACCGAGACACCAGGGCACATCACAAGGGCTTGGATACTCCGTCTGGGTCCACAGAGAGGGCGGCTGCTCATGCTGTCCCCTGCCTCTCAGACCCTGCAGACACCTGGGGGAGTTGATGGGGTGAGGTATTTCGCACCACAGATTCTGTCATGAATGTCATTTCAACAAACTTCTGAGAGAAACTCAATATTCCCAGGGAAGCCCTTGTGTTTGTGACTGATAATGACTACTTCATGAGTGATGGCTGAGAAGTTGCTGGTTCAGTGGCAAATAATGTAGTCCCTGTTCAGAAGCAAAACTATCTGTCATCATTCCTCCAGCACAAAACATGCCTCAGCACAAGCGTTTCTAAAGGAAATGTGCCTGGGGAAAGCCGGGTGATGATCTCCAGCGAGCTGCCCGCAGCCCCTGTCCCACTTTTATCGCCTCAATCAGCACAGTTTATGCCCAGGACCTCCCAAATCTTTCTCCTGCCCGAGCTCCCCTTGTTCTTCCATCTGCCTTCAGTGTGGCTCTAGGTGGCAATTCCAGGAATTTTCACCCACGTGGGGAATCTGTAGGCTCTTGGAACTCAGCATAACTTACACTGAACTCCTCTTCCTCCTGCCCGTGCCCCTCACAGCTCAGCTCCATGGCCACCCTGTGGCCACCCCCTTCCTCCCGCCTTGCCAGACACCAGACTCTCTAGCTTCCCTTCCTCAGGCTCTGCTCTTCTTCAGTCCCTCACGGTCACTGACAGAATCTGGTGTAAAATATCTCACCCCATCAACTCCCCCAGGTGTCAAGACTCACTGACAGTTGAGGCCTGCACCTTCTCTTGCACAAATTATGTTAACCACCTGATCAACTTCTCTGTCTCTGGCTTCTCCCCTTGTGCTCAATCTCCTGCAAGGATTACCTTTCTAAGACTCAAATCTCGTTCTGCTGTTCTCCAGACTCCAAACCAGCAAGGGCTACCCCACTGCCTGCTGAGAGCTCTAGAATTCAGAAACACCCTTTCTTTCCTGCAAATGTGTCCCCTGCCCCTGGCATGAGCAGGCACCCGCGTCTCGCCTGCTGGAAAGGGGAGTCTTGGGAGCAGAACTGGTGGGAATGGGCAAACAGTAGAAGTTTGAAAAGGGGAAAGGAAGAGAGAAGGCTAACCCTCAAGCACTTGTCTTCTTCACCACTTGGGTCCCGCCTCAGCTTGATGCCAAAATGCCCAGAAATACCCCACCGTCTTTCCCCAGCAAATGTATTTTCATAAAATGTAGATGAATTCTGATTATTTTATGTATGTAAATACACATCAGTGTAGTCCAGTGAAGACAACGTTGTCATATATCAGATCAAAATAGATAATGGAACAGGTGGGGCAAGGGAGAATAAAGCAAAGAATCAATTGCAATACTTGCATATTCCCCACATATTGCCCAGTGGACAAGAGAGGAAGAGGGAAGTTCCGAGTGTGGCTAGGGAAGGGAAGCACAGAAACCCGGGCTGGAATCCCGTTAACGGCAACGACATGTTGACTTAAGACAGAAAAGGACTGACCCCAGGAAGAAAGACCCATGCCCGAGGGTGTGTGCCAGCAGGAAGCTCCCAGCCAGTGGGCACACCCCTTTAAGCATGTTCATGGTTGCTTCTCAATGTCTCTGCTTAACAATAGCCCAAGCCTGAACCCAAGTCCTAGTGCTGCGGGCAGACGGGCAGACGTCTTTAAAAGTTGGAGAGGTTACTATCTTAGGCAGTGGTTCTCAACCTGTGGGTCGTGACCCCTTTGGGGGTCGAACAGCCCTTTCACAGGGGTCGCCTAAGACCATCGGAAAACACACATATAATTACATATTGTTTTTGTGATTAATCACTATGCTTTAATTATGTTCAATTTGTAACAAGGAAAATACATCCTGCATATCAGATATTTACATGACGATTCATAACAGTAGCAAAATTACAGTTATGAAGTAGCAACGAAAATAATTTTATGGTTGGGGGTCACCACAACATGAGGAACTGTATTAAAGGGTCGTGGCATTAGAAAGGTTGAGAACCACTGATCTAAGGGTAGTTGAGAGGACACAGGAGTGGCAAAAGCCTGTGGTCCTCTCTGCCCTGGTCCCTCTAACTATCAAACTGGATATATTATCATTCTACCCAGCTCCCACCAAAAACCAAACAAAAGTCCTCCCCTCCCCACAGACTTCCCTGAATTTTGAGGCACAAATTCAGCAAGTCCATCCTCCTAGTTGCAAGTCAGCCTTGATTTTCTCTCCTCTCCACGCAAGCACAGCCACCCACCCACAATCCCCATTGCATGCACCCTGGAATCCTACTGGCTTCCAGATGTATCTCTTATTTGACCACTTCTTACCACCTCTGCTACCATTATGGTCCAGCCACAGAATCTCTCTCACTTGGACCCTGGGGCCAGAGTGGACTTATTAATATGCAAGTTAGATCATGCCCCTCCTTTGCTCAGAATCCTCAAATGACTCTCCATCTCCTTCCGCATAAAATCAAAGTCTGTATGAAGCCCTTGGGATCTGGCCTCCTGGTCGTTTTTTCATCCTTCCCTCTCTTATCTCCTCCAGCCACACTTGCTTTGTTTTTGATGCTTCTGCCTGGAGCCTCTGCACCGGCTGTCCTTTTGACCTGGAACGCCTTCCTCAGATACCCACATCCCTCAGACACCCACATTGCTCCTCTCCTCACATCCTTCAAGTCTCTGACAACTTCCCAGAAAAGCCTTCACTAACCCATATCCATAGCCCCCATATTTCCCACTTTATTTTTCTTCATAAAGCTTTCCACCTTTAACCAACATAAATCTGTTCATTGTTGAAATTCTGTCCTCCCCTACTAGACTGAAGGCTCTGTGGGAGTAGAGATTTCTGTCTGTTTTGTTCATTTTTTGCATTCTCAACACTTAGAACACAAACTGGTGTGACAAGCATTCAATAACTATTAGTTGAAGACAGGGTGGGGCAAACGTAGGTTTATAGCTGTGGGTACATGAAACACAGAATGTATTCTTATATTATTATTCATGGCATTATTTTCCACAGGAACAACTGCATATTCACTGAGTACCTTAAACTTCAAGGAATGCTCTGCTATGAACTACCATCCCAGGTGTATTGCTGCACAAGATATTAACTAGTTACCTCATCAAGTCAACTGAAGGACTCTGCTTATACCCAAGAACTATTCCCTCCAGTTATTCACGCATTCTCCTAGCTCCCTGCAGCAGGTCTTCCTTTCGGTGACCTTTTTGTCACTA